TTGCCCAACCAATCAAAGCCGGCATTGCATCCACCTCAACAAAATCAGGCCCAACCACCACCAATCGTGCCAACTAACCCACCCCATCCACACCACCTCTCAGCACTCTACCCGTTACGCTTGCACAAAAAGGTGAAGTGGGCTCTCAATTTGTTATTCTAGAGTGGCTGTGACTGATTTCAGTTTAGTTCTTCCTTACCTTAGCACGTTTTCCAATCTCGTTATCTCAACCGCCGCCATAGTCTCAACCGCCGCCATAGTCTCAACCGTCGCCATAGTCTCAACCGTCGCCGTAGTTTCAACTGTCGCCATAGTCTCAACCGTCCCAATAGCTTGTGATTTTTCGCAATTGCCACGAGTGCGCCTAATTGGCCGTGTGTCTTTCCCCTCGTGCACTCCGTTTTCTTTGTGTAGGTGTGTGCTCCGTTTAAATTCCTCTTGATCAACATGTGCAGGTCGAAGCTTAGGTCGCGCTGTTTTCTGATTAAGGTCACGTCCGATCCTTCCCTGAGTTAGCCGAAATTGTTATCTAACTAATGTCGTTGGCTCTGTTTCTACTCTCATGCAGTCCGTTTACTTCGTGTAGCCTTGTGCTCCGCGATGCATATCTCTCTCCGGGTTTTAAATCTTTGTTATCCCCATGTGCAGGTCGCGCGGTTTCCAGGTTGAGGTCGCGCTACGTTCCTACTCTTGCGCTTATGTGAACTGCTAGCTAATGAAACGTTTTCGTTTTTGTTCGTTTATTTCGCTGGCAGGCGGTTTTATACTGTATTTCCTATTAATCTCCGGTTTCAAGTACTCCTTTTTCAGGTAAGCATTATGTTTACATGTCACTGGTTTAAATTCATGGCTAACTCTTATGGTGAACTACAGGGGTTGCTTGGTGATCTGCAGATGGTTCTGTCTTCGGCCAAGACCATGCCCACATCATGTATAAGACGTAGATCACCCCCTGCAGTAGGCGAGGGTAGTTCTATATATTTATATCTGCCATTGTGCCATGGATATATTTTACATGTTGTTGGCATTTCTATTAATGGGAAATCTGAATTGTTAATATTAATAACGTTTGTGGAATGTCCAATAATAAGTAGTATGAAGTCAACATCAAACTCACTGAAGAGTACAATGCAATCAGATCTAGTCTCCAAAATCACTTCGCGAAAACTCATACCAAACGTCAGTCGAAGGTATTCAAGATGCAGTTTTGAACAGAGAAGCATTCGAGTACCATTTGAAAAGCATTCGACAAAGCATTTGGAAAACGACCTATACTTTCTCAAAAAAACGTTTGAAACCCTACGTTTATAAATCATTTGAAAAAGCTCCCACGAACCTCTTTTCATCGGCTTTCTGGACGCTGGATTTTTTTGATGGAATTACCCAGGACTGTTGCAATATGTAAGCAAATCGCAAAAAATCAGGTCCAGCATATCTGTCCCTTTATGGGCTCTGCACGACCCGAGTCGCGTGATTGCGTCGAACCGTCGAACCAGTCGAACTGGTTTGAATCGGACCTGAAGCGGGCAGGGGCTGAACCAAATGGTTCGCCCTTTGTGACGTCTAAATAAAATTATAATAATTCAGATGGTTCTCAAACTGAACCGAGCTGTGGATCCGTACTGCACTCATGCCTACTATGTAGTAGTAGGTTCTTTTGAGAATTCTCACATTCTCAAAAACTCACTCATGCCTACTATGTAGTAGTAGGTTCTGTGTCCTTGCTGCTTTTCATGGGTTGACCATGGCCACACTCACTCACTCACTCACGCTCCTGTATCTTTTTATTCTCTGCTCATGATGCCATGGCCTTTCTTGCATGCTATGCCATGCTGTGCTGTGTGCTTATGATGGCATGGCGGGGCGGGGCATGTGAAACGGCGTGTCCATTCATGATATGTTAATACTGGAATTTGAGAGCCAACCAGATCACTGGCTCTATACCTCGTGGCATTGGCTCCTTGAAGAATCTCAAATCCTTGTATGCTTCTCTCTCTCGCTTCACTCTCTCTTGCATACTTGCTATGACATTACATGCCCATTACCTCGTAGCATTGGCTGCTTGAAGAATCTCATATCCTTGTACGCTTCACAGCATGCCCCACAGGAGTTGACTTTTGAGTCGACTCAAAAGTCAACTCTCATTGAAGAACAAGATGCTTTGCGTAAGCCTGTATTATTGGGAAATGGCCATGTAAGCCTCCATGAAAAAACTTGTGTTTTACATAAACCTGCTGAAGGCATACTTGTGCTCTCACATTTATACACTTGCACTTGCACGAAGCAGGGACCTGTCTTACAACCCCATTTCAGGGAATGTACCTTCAACCATGGGATCCCTAAAATCACTCATGATGCTGTGAGTATGTCGATGTCATGTTGTTCCCAACAACATGGCCTATGTTTCAGCACCAACACCATCGCACGCACAAGCAGGTATCACAACCTGAGTTCGCCGTTCCCCTTCCATGCCTTCCTGCTGCAGCAACATCAGCTTTTTTTCACAACTCCGATTTTCCCTCCCCCTTGTCTCACTTCCCAACATATTTGGGCTCGCCTGGTTGAGCAATTCCCCCTCTCCCATACCCTTTCTCTGCTGCAGCAACATCAGGTTTGCAAATCTCAACGGCTCTCTGCCTCCCACCCTTGCGAAGCTCCAAGCACTTGAGAGCATGTAAGGCTAGACTTGAGAGCATGTAAGGCTAGACTTGAGAGCATGTAAGGCTAGACTTGAGAGCATGTAAGGCTAGACTTGAGCAATGGGTCGACCCGACCGACCCTGAACTGATCTGCTTGACCCGAGCCGGGTAACGAAACGGGTCAGGTCGGGTTGACCTGTAGTCGGGTCGGGTTGACCTGTAGTCGGGTCGGGTTGACCTGTAGTCGGGTCGGGTTGACCTGTAGTCGAGTCAGGTTGACCTGTAGTCGAGTCAGGTTGACCTGTAGTCGGGTCGGGTTGACCTGTAGTCGGGTCAGGTTGACCTGTAGTCGGGTCGGGTTGACCTGTTTTTGGGTCGGATTGACCTGTAGTCGGGTTGGGAGGACCCCGGGCCAGCCCAGCCCAGCCGGCCCGAGCCCATAGGGGTAGGGTTGGCTTTGGCCCGAGCTTATAGGTGTATGGTTGGCTGTGACCCGAGCTTATAGGTGTATGGTTGGCTGTGACCCGAGCTCATAGGGGTCGGGTTGGCTTTGGCCCGAGCTTATAGGTGTATGGTTGGCTGTGACCCAAGCTTATAGGGGTAGGGTTGGCTTTGGTCCGAGCTTATAGGTGTATGGTTGGCTGTGACCCAAGCTTATAGGGGTAGGGTTGGCTTTGGCCCGAGCTTATAGGTGTATGGTTGGCTGTGACCCGAGCTTATAGGGGTCGGGTTGGCTGTGACCTGAGGCCGGGGCGAATTGACCTGACCCAATGCTATTTCAACTGACCAAGTGACCCAACGCCATTTCGATTTCAGTTCACTCAGAACCGACAAAGTTTTGACAGGGAACCTGCATGACTCGTCCTGCATATGTTCCTCTCTGTATTCTTTGTCCTTCCTCTTCCTGCAGCACCTTGTCCAACAATCAGCTCTCCGGCTCGTTCCCCGCCTTCCTCGCCAACCTCTCAGCTCTTACCATGATGTAAGCATGATGTAAGCATGATTGAAGCTCCTTATTTTTTCCTATTAGTAGGAGGCTCCCACTATCTCATGTAACCACCCAATAACCGTTTCTGTTTTGTTGTTGTTTTTTTTTTTTTTCCTCATGTTTCCTCTCATACTCTCCTCCTTTTCTTCTCTCCCACTGCCCTCTAATGCATCCAATGGCCCAAGAAAATCTCAGAGCCTCCCACTGCCCTCTAATGCATCCAATGGCCCAAGAAAATCTCAGAGCCTCCCACTGCCCTCTAATGCATCCCGTGCCTCCTTTTGTCTCCTCTGATCGCCTTCAGCGACCTGTCTTGTAACGGAATCAACTCCTCCCTGCCTTCTTCACTCGGAAACTTCTCCAACCTCTTTCGGCTGTACGCATGCGTTGCTGTTGGAACTTTAAGATGTCTAAACTATCCTAACGGCCAAGTGCCTTGGCTGTTTTTGTTTGCCTTTGCTGTTTCTGTTTGCCTTTGCTGTTTCTGTTTGCCTTTGCTGTTTCTGTTCACCACACGTATGCAATTTCTTGCCAGGACTTGCTGTTCTGTTTGCCTTTGCTACGTTTCAAAGTGTGCCATCTATATGAACTACCAAATCTTGGGTTTCGTTTCCATTCCAATTTTGCACGTTTGCAGCGAGCTAAACAACAACAGCATCAGCGGAAGCATCCCAGAGTCCATTGGCCTTCTAACTGCCTTGGGAACTCTGTAAGCTTCTCCCTTCTGAGATGCTGTAGTTCTCACGACATGCTGCGTGCATGTTCTTCGCTGAAACAACACGGCAGTGGCACAGATGCGAGCTTGTATGCACAGAGAGGCCTTCAATGTGCGTTGCGAAATAACTTTTGAGGCGCCTCAAAAGCTTGTATGCGTCCAGACGCTTGACGCCCGGTGTCCTCTGCCCTGGACGCCCGCTTGACGCTGGCCCGGGCAGGGGTAAAAAAACCTGCCTAGTAAGGATACGCAGGGGTTAGAATGCAAGAAGTTCACTTTTGTCACCTAAAGTTATAAATACTCCATACTTGCGTTCTCCTTCCACACCACCTGCAGAAGGTGTGGAGCCACTACCAGATTGACTGGCGGAACTAGGAGTTGACATGATAACTTAATCGCCTTAACCTAATTTTAGCTAGGAAGGCTTAGTAACGTGACTGGCGGATTCTAGTGTAGGGTATGCTTGGCAATGTCGAGAGAAACAGATCTGTGAAGTGTCGACCTAGATCTGGTTCTCTTGTTTAGTTGGGGGTCGTCCTGGTTGGGAGTAGTAGATTGGGATGGGTAGAAATGTGTGGGGGGGAATAAATGTGGGTTGCGTTTTTCTAGGTCAAAAACGCAACCCCCGCTTGCCAATTTCATCGCAATTCTGGTCGCGATGATATCGCGCGTCAATTGCGTGTGGGATATTTTTTTTTCGGGCTGCCCGAAAACTGTTTTCCCAAACGTCCAGCGTCAAACCGATTTGACGCGTCCAGCGTCCGGACGGGACGCTGCCCTTTCAGGGCGTTAGGCGCAACATAGGTATGCACAGAGAAGCCTTGAATGTGCGTTGCGAAATGAGGGTGTTTTTGAGACGTCTCAAAAACACTTTTATTTCAAGACGCGAGCTTGGATGCACAGAGAGGCCTTCCAATGTGCGTTGCGCATAATCTGTGCGACTTGTGAGGGGTCTTCAATTCAACGCGCACGTGTAGCCTGTGCTCATTGTTTCTGGTCATGTGGTGTTCGTGTCCACAAATTGTCTAAAATAACGGTTTCACTTAAACCTGTGGTAACCGTAGCGGCTTATGAACTGCAAGCATACGCTCTTGACATGCCCTGACACTCCTCTTCTATCCCTCATCTGTCCTGCCTCTGCCCCTCCTCTCTCCCTCATCTGTCTTATTTCTGCCCCTCCTCTGTCCCTCATCTGTCCTACCTCTGCCCCTCCTCTGCCCCTCATTCGTCCCTCATCTGCCCCTCATCTGTCCCTCCTCTGTCCCTCATCTGTCCTGCCTCTGCCCCTCCTTTGCCCCTCTGTCCCATGTCCTTTCAGCTACATTGCAGGCAACAACCTGACAGGGTCTCTTCCTGCGTCCATGTCACTGTTAACAAACCTCTGGGGCATGTGAGTTGGGGCATGTGAGTTGGGGCATGTGGGTCGGGGTATGTGAGTTGGGGCATGTGAGTCGAGGGGGCATGTGAGTTGGGGCATGTGAGTCGGGGGGGCATGTGAGTCGGGGCATGGCAGTTGGGGCATGTGAGTCGGGGGGGCATGTGAGTTGGGGCATGTGAGTTGGGGCATGTGAGTCGGGGGGGCATGTGAGTCGGGGGGGCATGTGAGTTGGGGCATGTGAGTTGGGGCATGTGAGTCGGGGGGGCATGTGAGTTGGGGCATGTGAGTTGGGGCATGTGAGTTGGGGCATGTGAGTCGGGGGGGCATGTGAGTCGGGGGGGCATGTGAGTCGGGGGGGCATGTGAGTTGGGGCATGTGAGTCGGGGCATGGCAGTTGGGGCATGTAAGTCGGGGGGGCATGTGAGTTGGGGCATGTGAGTTGGGGCATGTGAGTTGGGGCATGTGAGTCGGGGGGGCATGTGAGTTGGGGCATGTGAGTCGGGGGGGCATGTGAGTTGGGGCATGTGAGTTGGGGCCTAAGATGGGTCCGTACGTCCCTGGACCTACGTAAACGTAATGTTACGCGTAACATTACGTTTACGTTTACGTACACGTAAATACGCGTAACTTAGGTCCGGGCAGGAAAAAAATCCGGCAAAAAAAAAAAGCACTCTGTAAATTGGCCCTGGAGAAGAGAGCATCATTGCGGCACAACCGCTCAGGGAAGCACATACAGCTGCGTACGAAATACCATATTTAGGATTGACGGTTCTTTCATAACCGTTATGCTATATTTAGTGACTATCTACCTCGCTATTTAAATTCGCAGCACCATCTTTTAGATCTTCACTTAGGTTGTACTTAAGAACTCTAGGATCTAGGTTAGAGGATCTAGAACGGAGATCTACGTAGAAGATGTGAGAGGATTTGGTCGTGGATCTATAGCTCTAGCATCGAGCGTAACCTTCAGAGCCCCGCGTAAGTCACGGGGCTGGAACATAAGGACAGGTGGGGAGGTTGAAGTGATGACACTGTGGGGAGGGGGGGGGGGGGACGTTGACTCGCGATTCTGAAATTGGAGGGAAGCCGCCCGAAGCGATTTTTGCACCTAGCAAAAGTAACGCGTCACAAAGTGACGCGCCGATACAAACAATGGTCGGCAACAAAATTTCTGGCTGGAGATTGTAATTTCGTAGCTTGAACCACAACATTATCATAAAAAATGTTAATGCCAACTTCGAATCCCGGGGAAATTTTTATGACCCAGGCAGCGGAAAATAAACTAATCTGCCCGGAAACGTAAACTCATTCTGGACCCTTGTACGTAACGTAAAACGTACGTAAACGTAAGCGTAATATCCAACTTAGGTTGGGGCATGTGAGTCGGGGGGGCATGTGAGTCGGGGGGCATGTGAGTTGGGGCATGTGAGTTGGGGCATGTGAGTTGGGGCATGTGAGTTGGGGCCTGTGAGTTGGGGCATGTGAGTTGGGGCATGTGAGTTGGGGCATGTGAGTTGGGGCACGTGAGTTGGGGCATGTGAGTTGGGGCATGTGAGTTGGGGCATGTGAGTTGGGGCATGTGAGTTGGGGCATGTCAGTTGGGGCATGTGAGTTGGGGCATGTGAGTTGGGGCATGTGAGTTGGGGCATGTGAGTTGGGGCATGTGAGTTGGGGCATGTGAGTTGGGGCATGTGAGTTGGGGCCTGTGAGTTGGGGCATGTGAGTTGGGGCATGTGAGTTGGGGCACGTGAGTTGGGGCATGTGAGTTGGGGCATGTGAGTTGGGGCATGTCAGTTGGGGCATGTGAGTTGGGGCATGTGAGTTGGGGCATGTGAGTTGGGGCATGTGAGTTGGGGCCTGTGAGTTGGGGCATGTGAGTTGGGGCACGTGAGTTGGGGCATGTGAGTTGGGGCATGTCAGTTGGGGCATGTCAGTTGGGGCATGTCAGTTGGGGCATGTCAGTTGGGGCATGTGAGTTGGGGCATGTGAGTTGGGGCATGTGAGTTGGGGCATGTGAGTTGGGGCATGTGAGTTGGGGCACGTGAGTTGGGGCATGTGAGTTGGGGCACGTGAGTTGGGGCATGTGAGTTGGGGCACGTGAGTTGGGGCATGTGAGTTGGGGCATGTGAGTTGGGGCATGTGAGTTGGGGCACGTGAGTTGGGGCATGTGAGTTGGGGCATGTGAGTTGGGGCATGTGAGTTGGGGCATGTGAGTTGGGGCATGTGAGTTGGGGCATGTGAGTTGGGGCCTGTGAGTTGGGGCATGTGAGTTGGGGCATGTGAGTTGGGGCATGTCAGTTGGGGCATGTGAGTTGGGGCCTAAGATGGGTCCGTACGTCCCTGGACCTACGTAAACGTAATGTTACGCGTAACATACGTTTACGTACACGTAAATACGCGTAACTTAGGTCCGGGCAGGAAAAAAATCCGGCAAAAAAAAAAAGCACTCTGTAAATTGGCCCTGGAGAAGAGAGCATCATTGCGGCACAACCGCTCAGGGAAGCACATACAGCTGCGTACGAAATACCATATTTAGGATTGACGGTTCTTTCATAACCGTTATGCTATATTTAGTGACTATCTACCTCGCTATTTAAATTCGCAGCACCATCTTTTAGATCTTCACTTAGGTTGTACTTAAAGCTCAAGGCCCAAATTGCGGGCCGCGCGAGGCAAGTTTAGTAAGGTTGATCGAGTGCTGCTTTGCAGCTTTAGCTGGGCGAATTGTGGTTACGAAATGTACGAAGCCATCTGATTGGCCAGAACATTTGAGTCAGCGAATGGAACAGGTGGTGCGGGAAACTGGCAAGAGTAATATTTGTGCAATATGGGACTCGCGCAACCAAACCTGAGCGTCCCCTAGGCTTTGCTGAGTCAGCGAATTTTGTTTTGAGTGTGGCGAGAAGCTGGGCGAAACCAAACCCCTACACCCCTCAAACACCTCGACTTTCCTACTCTGCTTTCCCACCACCCAAGGGTCAACTTTAGTAATCCTGAACAATTTGGGCCTTGAGCTTTAAGAACTCTAGGATCTAGGTTAGAGGATCTAGAACGGAGATCTACGTAGAAGATGTGAGAGGATTTGGTCGTGGATCTATAGCTCTAGCATCGAGCGTAACCTTCAGAGCCCCGCGTAAGTCACGGGGCTGGAACATAAGGACAGGTGGGGAGGTTGAAGTGATGACACTGTGGGGAGGGGGGGGGGGGGGACGTTGACTCGCGATTCTGAAATTGGAGGGAAAGCCCGAAGCGATTTTGTGCACCTAGCAAAAGTAACGCGTCACAAAGTGACGCGCCGATACAAACAATGGTCGGCAACAAAATTTCTGGCTGGAGATTGTAATTTCGTAGCTTGAACCACAACATTATCATAAAAAATGTTAATGCCAACTTCGAATCCCGGGGAAATTTTTATGACCCGGGCAGCGGAAAATAAACTAATCTGCCCGGAAACGTAAACTCATTCTGGACCCTTGTACGTAACGTAAAACGTACGTAAACGTAAGCGTAATATCCAACTTAGGTTGGGGCATGTGAGTCGGGGGGGCATGTGAGTCGGGGGGCATGTGAGTTGGGGCATGTGAGTTGGGGCATGTGAGTTGGGGCATGTCAGTTGGGGCATGTGAGTTGGGGCATGTGAGTTGGGGCATGTGAGTTGGGGCATGTGAGTTGGGGCATGTGAGTTGGGGCATGTGAGTTGGGGCATGTGAGTCGGGGGGGCATGTGAGTCGGGGGGGCATGTGAGTCGGGGGGGCATGTGAGTTGGGGCATGTGAGTCGGGGCATGGCAGTTGGGGCATGTAAGTCGGGGGGGCATGTGAGTTGGGGCATGTGAGTTGGGGCATGTGAGTTGGGGCATGTGAGTTGGGGCATGTGAGTCGGGGGGGCATGTGAGTTGGGGCATGTGAGTCGGGGGGGCATGTGAGTTGGGGCATGTGAGTTGGGGCCTAAGATGGGTCCGTACGTCCCTGGACCTACGTAAACGTAATGTTACGCGTAACATTACGTTTACGTTTACGTACACGTAAATACGCGTAACTTAGGTCCGGGCAGGAAAAAAATCCGGCAAAAAAAAAAAGCACTCTGTAAATTGGCCCTGGAGAAGAGAGCATCATTGCGGCACAACCGCTCAGGGAAGCACATACAGCTGCGTACGAAATACCATATTTAGGATTGACGGTTCTTTCATAACCGTTATGCTATATTTAGTGACTATCTACCTCGCTATTTAAATTCGCAGCACCATCTTTTAGATCTTCACTTAGGTTGTACTTAAAGCTCAAGGCCCAAATTGCGGGCCGCGCGAGGCAAGTTTAGTAAGGTTGATCGAGTGCTGCTTTGCAGCTTTAGCTGGGCGAATTGTGGTTACGAAATGTACGAAGCCATCTGATTGGCCAGAACATTTGAGTCAGCGAATGGAACAGGTGGTGCGGGAAACTGGCAAGAGTAATATTTGTGCAATATGGGACTCGCGCAACCAAACCTGAGCGTCCCCTAGGCTTTGCTGAGTCAGCGAATTTTGTTTTGAGTGTGGCGAGAAGCTGGGCGAAACCAAACCCCTACACCCCTCAAACACCTCGACTTTCCTACTCTGCTTTCCCACCACCCAAGGGTCAACTTTAGTAATCCTGAACAATTTGGGCCTTGAGCTTTAAGAACTCTAGGATCTAGGTTAGAGGATCTAGAACGGAGATCTACGTAGAAGATGTGAGAGGATTTGGTCGTGGATCTATAGCTCTAGCATCGAGCGTAACCTTCAGAGCCCCGCGTAAGTCACGGGGCTGGAACATAAGGACAGGTGGGGAGGTTGAAGTGATGACACTGTGGGGAGGGGGGGGGGGGACGTTGACTCGCGATTCTGAAATTGGAGGGAAAGCCCGAAGCGATTTTGTGCACCTAGCAAAAGTAACGCGTCACAAAGTGACGCGCCGATACAAACAATGGTCGGCAACAAAATTTCTGGCTGGAGATTGTAATTTCGTAGCTTGAACCACAACATTATCATAAAAAATG